CGTGTAAAAACTTCCGAGATCCGTTCTCTAAATGGATTTTCCTAAAAATGAAAGAAGAAACACACAAACATTTCGCCAGTGAGAAAAGTCGATAAAAGTAAAATAAATAATTTGATTTAATTTTCAACTAATATTTAAAATAGACGTAAGTGTATAAAATCATTAAAACGGGATAGAGAATTTTAAGAAACTCGTCTTATAATGTCTGACATAACGATGTACTTTATACATATATATATATATATATATATATATATATATATATATATATATATATATATATATATATATATATATATATATATATATATATATATATATATATATATATATATATATATATATATATATATATATATATATATATATATATATATATATATATATATATATATATATATATATATATATATATATATATATATATATATATATATATATATATATATATATATATATATATATATAGCCATATTTAACACGTGCACATTCTCATATACACACACAGAACTGTAAACCGAGCAGAATATATAAAATATATATTCTAATCAATTATGTAAAAATTTATATATATTTGTATAGATCTCTATATTTGATAATGATAATAAATTACATAAATATAATATTATGTTTTCTTTTTACTAAAACAATTTATTATAAAAAAGATTCTATACAAACACATTTTTATTATGATTTTTAAATGAATTATATAATTTGAAATATAAACCTTCAATTCAGGTATACGAGCTAAATATGACAAGGGTAAACGAAGAGACGATGCTTGTTGCGGCGTCATGATACGCGGTATCATTCCAGAATCTCCTATCTCCCGAAATCTCTTAAATATCCTGGAAAAAAACGGAAAAATCAATAAGGCAGCAATTTGAAAGTTTTTTACGCCGAATAATGGAAATATTACCTCAAGATTTCCTTGCGCGTAAAAAAAGTACAATCCTGATAATCTTCGAGTTGTTCTTCGGTGAATGTTGCTACTTTATTACCCATTGCGCTTATTAATTTACTTTTTTTATTTCCTGCGAATATATTAGACTCTAGAACATTATTATCTTTCACTTTACACAGGTAGTTTTATATATATATATATATATTAATCTTTTTGACGAAAAAAATAAACAATATATATATTATAAAAAATTATAGATAGAAATATCAAAAAGAAATCGGATTAAAAAGGGCTGTTACATTTACGGAAGAACAACGAGAACTGAGTTTTCGCATTCTCCATGTCCGATACGAATTCGTGCAATCTAATAACCAAGGTGTGTCTTGCCACTCCCATCTTTAGGGACGTCCCGATTCTAAATACTTCTGATCCTACAAGGGATTACGACCTACTTGTATACTTCATTGTGAATTGTATAGCAACGACCATTACTCTTTTTAATATCGACATTGCATGAAACTAATATTGATCATATTAATTATATGAAATCAATTTTAATTGTATAAAAAAAATATACAAGTATTTCAGTAAACATATTACAAAAAGCTTTATTATATATAAAATATCGCAAGTGTATGTAATCGCAAATTTTGCAACAAACATCAACATTATTGAAAATATATTGTTGAACATATTTTATTTATACAATAACTTAGTTTTCTTTTAAATATAACGATCTTCATACGCCTCTTTACAATCAGCTAAATTATTAATACATTCCGTGAATTCGTCTTCCTCCAGCCCGGAATTCGTAAAGGCATGAAATTTCTTGATACTTTTTATCCTTTTGGTTTGTTTAAGCAGAGATTCATACATTGCCGCGATGCTATTGCCACTATGTATTCCAGCCATCACCGCAACCGAGTTTACATCTAAGAAAAAAATGAATTAATATAATATTCATCCTCCAATATTGTTATTTTTGTACTAATTAAAGAAGATATACCTGTTTCTACGGGCCTTTCGGCGACGTTACCATTCTCGGTTACATTATTACTGAATATTTTTGGATAAGGTGAAGAAATTTTTAACGGTGCCTCAATATTGGATAAATATGTGGCTGATGCGTGACAGGTGCATGCCAAATAGAATGTCATCATTTCGTGTACACTGGAGCATTTGTATGCTGGTTTTGATATCTGTTTGCTAGCTTCGTTAATAGGTCGCTTTATTCTGTCTTCTGAAATTCCGCGCAACGCTATACTTTGCAGATTGTTATCCATTGATATGTCACAGCTCGGTGTCAGACTGGTCCATAGAGGTCCCTCAAATTCATCCAATATATCTATTAAATCCATCTTTACTTTCATAGGAAATGGCAGAGTTAAACTAACCGCCGCTGCTTTACGACCTAATTTGTTCAGATCAGCGCATAAATCAGATAAAGTGGCATTTGGATACCTCTTAGTTCTATATCTTAAAGTCAATGTATCCAAAGCAGTCGCTAATATTGCACTGCTGTGATACTTTAGTTCTGGGCTATATGTTATGTTTGGGAATTTACGCGAATCAGCCGCGAATGGCCACCCGACTTGCCCACAAGAAAGTGGACTGTAAAGCGACGAATACTCTCCAATGTGTTGCCAGCACAGTGCCGTATTTACAATTTTAATTAAATCTGATGCACTGGGTTCGGCGTTGTTAAAATCTAAACACGGAAATGTCAAAATACTCTTCCCATATTCATCACGTAGATGCTGAATGCAAGATGCTCCAAGACCAGCGAAACCATCAGTAGAATCCACAAGTACCTATTGTTTAGAAATAATTATGCTAACAATATGGCATATAAATAATAATTTTAACATAGAATATATAACATATAATAAAATGTACAAATATATACCTGAAATCCTTGCATCAAATCACATTCTTCCACATATAATCGTATTCTGTCTGAAAAATCATCAGAGAATTGTCCTGTGTTCCACAAATCGTGACCATATGTGAATATATCAAATGGTTGTTGTGTACAATTGTGTAAATACTCTTTGATAACTGTCACTGTCCTTGGATGGAATAATGGTAAAATATAATCGACCCATGATTTCACGTCATTTTCAAAATTGAAACTTTCCAAATCCACAGTTTTATTGGATTCATTTAAATTTTCAATAAAAGGTGTTTTAGGATTAGGTTCAGCACTAATAACTTCTAATTTTGCATCATCCCATAGTAGCTCATTATCTGGAGGTGCTGTATCATGTGAAGAACCTTGCTCATTCAGATAACCTAATGTTCCTTTTAAATCTGCTATTAATAGTCTCGGTGTAAATGTAACTTGTCTCTGAAACAGAACTATCTCATTATAATTACTATTTTGTATTGTATATAATATATCTATTTATAATCACACACGAGCTTTTACTGGACGTGTAACTTTATCAATCTTATTACAATTAAAATAATTCATTATATAATTTATTTAATATTATGTAAAACATATTTTATAGTAAATTTGCAGAATGGTGTCCTTCTGATTGATTTTACTTATATTTTATATTTAGTTTTTTTAGTTTTATTTAGAGTTATATTTGTAACTCTCGTTTTTTTATATCAACTGTATATAAAAACTGTATATAACAAAAAATATTGTGTGTATGTTTATATATATATAATTACATCTTCAAAGAAATCTACCTAAAGCAAATTAAATCGATACAAAAAAGTCTTGCTGAAAAAAAGATAATCTCATATCCATGTATTAGTTTGAATCTAATTTTAAACTCTCTTGTCTAATCCTTACAGAAAGAACATATTATTCAAATTATTACTATTATTCAAATAAATCTTTTAAAAAATTAGTTCTACAGTTATATTTTTAATTAATGCTAAATGGTTTAAGGATATAGTTATATATATTGTTGTCAATACATTTATATATAAATGAAAATACATATACAAAAACAATTTTTTTTGTTCAATTATATTTACTTGCAGATTTTCACTTTCCCTGTACAAAACATCATGATTTATTTCAGATGGATGTTTCGGATCGTACGTGAAGTTAGACTCCTGCAATGAAATTCTTGTGATGTATTACAATCTTAAGTATTCCAAAAATATGTTGAGAGATTTGTAATCAAAATAATATTGCATTTTTAATACCTGCAAATTCCACCAATGCGTGCCGATAAAATTGGAATAATGACCCAATTGAATAGTCAATATCTCTCGTGTCGTCATTGTATCGTATTATTAATATATATTTATTTAATATATATTAATTTATATTTTACTCCTTATAGAAGAATATGATAATCCAATAAGATGATATATAATTATATAATTGTGATAATATAATTATACATAATATAATTTTATAATGATATAATTATATAAGATTCCTTTTTCTTATAATTGTTTATTAGATTTCTGTTTGTTATGAGACGCAGAATCACGATTTTGATATAAGGTTACATTTACGCATATGCAATCATGCAATCCTATTCAACACACATGACATTCAGAGTGCGTTCAAAAATTCTATCCGTAGGGTAGAGTAGCATTTAATTGACCAACCACAAAGAAATTTTTGCTCCTGATCAGCCAATTAAACGTTCTTTACCCCTCGGGTAGGATTTCCGAACGCGCCCTGTCGACAATTCCCATTGGCCGCGTTCAGCAGAGAAAGCGCTCAGTTATCGTCTTGTCAACACTCGACGTTGATTCGTTGGTTCTAAAAGTAAGAACCAATCACATTCGGTTGCTACTAAGCGGTTTTCTCTACTGAACGCGACCATTCTCATAAAAAAACATTCAGGGTTGGATAGAGAATTTATAGGGTCTCTAAATTTCTAAAAGTCTCTATTCAATAACCAATCAACTCATCCGCCAAGTATGGCGGTCGAATCCACTTAATATCGATTTTAGATTAAATTTTTGAATTTTGCACACACGAACGAGAATTAAAATATATAATAAATCCAATAAATTCTCTACGAATTACTTACAACAGAAAAGTTTGATTATTTCCTTATCATTATACCGATACATTCGAGCTTACAGCACTTAAAATTATTATGAAATGAGTCTACTCAATGCATTAATAATGAAGATCACAGCACATCAATTATTTGCACATCACTATTAATAACGGCATTACTGATAAGATTCTGTATAAAGTAGTTATGCACGCATATATTAGTATATTACGTACAGTCATAGTTTAATCATAGATCTTATATATCTTATGTAAGTATTATACAGGGTGTCCCCAATTTAAATGTCAAAACTTTAGGAGCGTGTAGGGGACCGATAAACTAAAACAAAAAGTCCTTTAGAGATTTGCTCGTTTTTGCTTCGTTTTGAAGAAAATCGCAAAAAATGAAACAAATAATAATATTTAGATCTGTGTATAAGTATTATACGTATAATAATATAGATCTATATAAGTATTATACAAGGTGTCCCCAAATTAAATGGCAAAACTTCAAGAGCGTGTAGGGGACCAAAAAACTAAGACAAGAATGTGATTTCCTCCAAAATGGAGCAAAAACGAGCAAACTTCTAAAGGACTTTCTGTCTTAGCTTTTCGGTCCCCTACACGCTCCTGAAGTTTTGCCATTTAACTTGGGGACACCCTGTATAATAATACTTATATATTTCTATTGACTCATTGATAAATCACTTTCCTCTTTCGCGCGGGAGTTCCCCTAGTTATCCTAAAATGCTTCCTTTGTTTGATATGTTGCATAGATATACTAGTATACTAGAATAAAAATTTATAGTGCCATAGAAATAACAAATAATGTCGTTTAAAATTGAAGATTTCCCTGAATGTATACTTCCAAAATTAACGATTAAATTAATTGGACATTATAGCATCGACGGTGATTCAAAATATCATGCCGATTTATCGCAAATGAAATATTATGTGCCTCCTTCAGATCCTGACAATGTATCTTTCGATCTTAATAAAGATTCGAAGTCTACTCGTCACAGATCTACTTCATATATCAAATTGGATGATATATTGAGATGGATTTCGGACAATTTTAATCTACTTGAGAAACCATTATCACGCGAAGGCCAGTGGTATGTTATTAAACAAATATAAAACTTGCATGTATGATACATTATTGAAATATATAACATAGACTTTCCCTGCGCATACAATATATTATTATTATATTTCAAACAATTATGTAGTAATGAATATATATCCTAAAAATTATAGATGTTTATAATTATTATTAACATTATATATAGCAATTGTGTAACCGTTACTTTTTTACACACTAATTAAAAAATAAGTATTAATTAGGTTGGATACTGATTTTATTTGCGGTCGTGGCGCATTAAAAACAATATTATGTACCCCTTATGAAAGATCTAAAAACTGGATTATTTGTGCTAGCAAATACCGTGGTACGATATATTTATGCGAATTTTACACAAATGAAAAAGAACATCGACATGTCAATGCAACTACACAAGAAAAACGATTGAGTTCATTGGGATACAAGTTTGAACAATATATGGTAGCAGGTATTTTAAATTATTATGTACGAATGATCAAAAATTATTTTTACTTCAAATATAATAATATAATTATTTATTTAATTCATGTAATTAAACTGATTAAATAATATATCTATTTTTTCATAGATCAACCATCGCATAAACCAAATACATCAGTACCTCTTAATGAATGTAAAAAATTTTACTGTGTAATTAAAGCAAATTTTGGAGATCATTCATTATTATATGGAGCAGAAATAGATGCTATTTCCTCACCACAGCCTATAACGGATACACTTACTGGCAAAACAATTGAATTGATTGAGTTGAAAACATTACCAATGAAAGTTTATAATGAAATCGGCACAGTATTGTACGATAAATATGGCACAATACCTCTTAAAACAGTAATTAGATGGTGGAGTCAGAATTACTTAGCAGGAATAGAAAGACTTATATGTGGATTAAAAAATAGATATGGGGAAGTGAAAATGATAAAAGAACATCCTACGCAGAATCTGCCAGAGCTTTCAAAAGTAAGTAATACCATTAAAACTATATAATATTTATGTATAACATATATATTAATTAATATGATAATTTGTAATTATTTACTATTGCAGCCTTGTTGTAATGTGGGCAAATGTAAAAAGTTTTGCAAAATATTTCTAGACCATGTCAAAAAGTTTGTCATCAAAGATTATAATGAGTGCATGTATAAGTTTTACTATGATGCATCTAATGATGTCATAAATTATAGTGAAGAAGCTTCTAATGACGAAATGTATTTCTTCTTAAAGTCATGGTTTGTTGAAAAAGCAGAAAATTATAACAGTACTTTTCAGTAAATACATAAATCTAAAGAATATTTTTTATATAAGGAAAGACGCACGTCATGTGAAAAAAATAGATAGATGCGCAAATGCCATGAAGTTAATAAAATAAACAATTTTATTTTATGTGTTATTGAAATAAGAAATATGACTTTCTTTTTCTATAGAATATGTATGTGAAATTATTTTAATGATAACTTTCTAGTTTGTTAATATTTGATAAAAATTACTTTATATTTTATATAAATGTTTACAATTAAATATAATAGGTTCACATGTTTACTTTGACTGTACTTACTTGAACAAAATAAAGATTTTATTGCATATATATCAAACACTGCGACCTAGAACTTGTCTTATTGCATCCATCTCATTATGGGACATAGGTTCCAACATTAATCCAGGTACTGGTGGAGTCAATTCTAAGTCACGTAATTCATTTACTTTTATCTTTAAATCGCTTCTTAACTTATTAATCGCAGTACTAGATTCTCTCTGATCTGAAATACCAATAATATTATTGTCGAATATGAAAATTAAAGAATGTAAATAGATTTCTTTTTGTGTTTGGAATTACCTTTTTCGAGTAATTCTTCAGCTGCTTTAGACGGCATCTTTAATAGCAATGGACCCACTGTTATCCACGTTTTTTCATGTATTTGTTTTTGTAGTGCCCTTATTCCAATGCGATCATCATTTCTTCTCTTATCCAAAGCAATTATTTCTTTGCGATCAGTGAGAATTTCGCCAGCCTTATTTTCAACTTTTTCTAAGTGTTCCAATAATCTTTGATGTTCACTCATCATCTGTAACATATTAATAAATTTATATATTATACTTACTTTTACTATTAAATATTGAAAGGCATTTGTATATATCTGAGGTTTTCATTCTTGCTACATTTTAGTAAAATAAACATTAAATATGCTTTTTTTTTACAGTTTTATTAACATATAATTGACATATATTATATAAAAAAATTTCGAGTTAATAGTATTTATAGAAAATAAAAAGAAATTAATATTGATATGTAACATTGATATATTTTATAATGAAGAAATATTGAGAATAAACTTACAAGTATAGGTACATAAGAACAGTAATAATTATTTTCATTACAGTCAATCTTCAAGTAAATATTATAATCACATTTATAAAATTATTCACATGTATTTTAAGATAATGCAATACGTAGAGCTCTTTCTTTTCTGGCTTCTCTGTGAAGTAGTCTTTCCCTGTCCCTTTTTTTCAAAGGTTTCTGTTTAGGTGTTTTAATGCTACTAATGGCAGTTGTATCATCTGGTTTGAAATGGGTAACTTTATATTCACTTTCTACTGGTTGTCCTAATCCTTTGCGATCCGTTTTCACATATGTTTTAATTGGATATTTCATTCCTTTCCCAGAAGGTCCAAGACCAGCTTCTTCATCCCATCCAGAATTCAAAAGCATTCTATATCCTTTATTTTGTTTTGATATTCCATATATTGTGTGTTTTAATTTTGGCTTTGTGTTAAAGATGTGCAAAGTAGAGCTTTCATGTTTTTGTGGTGTTGTTTCTTGAAAGGTTGCTTTACAGACATCACAGTAAAATATTGGGTTGTGCTGTAATTTCATCTTTTCTTGTGTAATACAAACATCTTTATCATGCTCTGAAGATTCCATAGACATTGCTTTTATTGGTAAAGCATTTGTATTATTTACTTTCGGAACGTTTATCAATGATTGATTATTATTACACATTAATTCAGATTTTTTTTTTAATAGCGCAACTATACTTAAATAATTTCTTTTCAAAGCTAATTGGGCTGCAGTAAGACCAGACCTATCCCTAGTTCTTCTATTAGCCCCAAGATTTAACAAAAACTGTACAATTTCCAAATGACCGCAGTAAGCAGCAGACATTAATGGAGTCCAACCAAAGTCGTCGCATACATTCACATTTTCTGATGTCATATGTTTTTGTAAGAATTTTAAATCCTTTTGTTCTACTGCTTTTAACAATGTATTGATAGTGACTTTTGCTAGAATATCTTCAGGAACTGTAGTCTTTCTTGATTGTATATTAATGGAAACTTGATTTGTGCCAGAGTTGCTTCCGTTTCCAACAGTTTTTGATTTTAAATATTTTAATCTTGTTGTCGTAATATTGCTATTACTAATTTGATGAATAACTTCTTCATAGGCAGCCTTTGCTTCATTTCCTTGGAAGGCCAATTGATGAATACATTTTTCTGGAGATTTATCTTGTACATTGGAGGATTCCCTGACAAATGTTTTCCATGGTATATCAATGTTATATCTTATATGCATCCACTGTTGCAAAGACATTTTTATAATATTTGGACATATGTCACACTGTTTTAAATTTCTTTCTTTGAAAATTGTATGAAATCTTTATAATAATCTTTGTCAGTCTATATATGTCTTCTTAGCAGTCATAATATATATATTAACCATTGTGATACAATGTATGTTTCTTCTTCAAAAGTTAATCTGTAGAATGTAATAAAGTAATGGCACCAGACGAGTGGTACGATATTGCATATGACATGTATATATTTGCGAGCAATACGTTGCTCTGCACACCTTGTATCTCCGTAATATCAAATTTTGTCGGAAAAGACACTACTTTAAAATAGTAGCAGGTTTGGGCTTGGTATATATTATACGTAAAAGCTCAAAATCTCTTGTTATCAATATAAAATGTGGACAGCAAAATTTACCTTTGCTATTTTGCCTTATTACGCTATTATCTCAGTCGTGAGCCGATTTATTATTTTACTCTCAGATTCTCCTTTAGGTTTCTCTCTTCGACCAAATTCTCGTCACATCAGATAGTAACAGAGAGCAAGAGAGATAGTGACAACAGAGAGAAACCTCAGAGGGGCCACGCCGCCGTTTTTCCTGTAACGCTTTCTCTAGCCGGTACAGTGGCGCTAACTGGATCCATTTTAGAGCCGGCGGAACTACGTGGCCGGATCCAGTTAGCGCCACTGAACCGGCTAGAGAAAGTGTTACAGGAAAAACGGCGGCGTGGCCCCTCTCAGGTTTCTCTCTGTTGTCACTATCTCTCTTGCTCTCTGTTACTATCTGATGTGACGAGAATTTGGTCGAAGAGAGAAACCTAAAGGAGAATCTGAGAGTAAAATAATAAATCGGCTCACGACTGAGATAATAGCGTAATAAGGCAAAATAGCAAAGGTAAATTTTGCTGTCCACATTTTATATTGATAACAAGAGATTTTGAGCTTTTACGTATAATATATACCAAGCCCAAACCTGCTACTATTTTAAAGTAGTGTCTTTTCCGACAAAATTTGATATTACGGAGATACAAGGTGTGCAGAGCAACGTATTGCTCGCAAATATATACATGTCATATGCAATATCGTACCACTCGTCTGGTGCCATTACTTTATTACATTCTACAGATTAACTTTTGAAGAAGAAACATACATTGTATCACAATGGTTAATATATATATTATGACTGCTAAGAAGACATATATAGACTGACAAAGATTATTATAAAGATTTCATACAATTTTCAAAGAAAGAAATTTAAAACAGTGTGACATATGTCCAAATATTATAAAAATGTCTTTGCAACAGTGGATGCATATAAGATATAACATTGATATACCATGGAAAACATTTGTCAGGGAATCCTCCAATGTACAAGATAAATCTCCAGAAAAATGTATTCATCAATTGGCCTTCCAAGGAAATGAAGCAAAGGCTGCCTATGAAGAAGTTATTCATCAAATTAGTAATAGCAATATTACGACAACAAGATTAAAATATTTAAAATCAAAAACTGTTGGAAACGGAAGCAACTCTGGCACAAATCAAGTTTCCATTAATATACAATCAAGAAAGACTACAGTTCCTGAAGATATTCTAGCAAAAGTCACTATCAATACATTGTTAAAAGCAGTAGAACAAAAGGATTTAAAATTCTTACAAAAACATATGACATCAGAAAATGTGAATGTATGCGACGACTTTGGTTGGACTCCATTAATGTCTGCTGCTTACTGCGGTCATTTGGAAATTGTACAGTTTTTGTTAAATCTTGGGGCTAATAGAAGAACTAGGGATAGGTCTGGTCTTACTGCAGCCCAATTAGCTTTGAAAAGAAATTATTTAAGTATAGTTGCGCTATTAAAAAAAAAATCTGAATTAATGTGTAATAATAATCAATCATTGATAAACGTTCCGAAAGTAAATAATACAAATGCTTTACCAATAAAAGCAATGTCTATGGAATCTTCAGAGCATGATAAAGATGTTTGTATTACACAAGAAAAGATGAAATTACAGCACAACCCAATATTTTACTGTGATGTCTGTAAAGCAACCTTTCAAGAAACAACACCACAAAAACATGAAAGCTCTACTTTGCACATCTTTAACACAAAGCCAAAATTAAAACACACAATATATGGAATATCAAAACAAAATAAAGGATATAGAATGCTTTTGAATTCTGGATGGGATGAAGAAGCTGGTCTTGGACCTTCTGGGAAAGGAATGAAATATCCAATTAAAACATATGTGAAAACGGATCGCAAAGGATTAGGACAACCAGTAGAAAGTGAATATAAAGTTACCCATTTCAAACCAGATGATACAACTGCCATTAGTAGCATTAAAACACCTAAACAGAAACCTTTGAAAAAAAGGGACAGGGAAAGACTACTTCACAGAGAAGCCAGAAAAGAAAGAGCTCTACGTATTGCATTATCTTAAAATACATGTGAATAATTTTATAAATGTGATTATAATATTTACTTGAAGATTGACTGTAATGAAAATAATTATTACTGTTCTTATGTACCTATACTTGTAAGTTTATTCTCAATATTTCTTCATTATAAAATATATCAATGTTACATATCAATATTAATTTCTTTTTATTTTCTATAAATACTATTAACTCGAAATTTTTTTATATAATATATGTCAATTATATGTTAATAAAACTGTAAAAAAAAAGCATATTTAATGTTTATTTTACTAAAATGTAGCAAGAATGAAAACCTCAGATATATACAAATGCCTTTCAATATTTAATAGTAAAAGTAAGTATAATATATAAATTTATTAATATGTTACAGATGATGAGTGAACATCAAAGATTATTGGAACACTTAGAAAAAGTTGAAAATAAGGCTGGCGAAATTCTCACTGATCGCAAAGAAATAATTGCTTTGGATAAGAGAAGAAATGATGATCGCATTGGAATAAGGGCACTACAAAAACAAATACATGAAAAAACGTGGATAACAGTGGGTCCATTGCTATTAAAGATGCCGTCTAAAGCAGCTGAAGAATTACTCGAAAAAGGTAATTCCAAACACAAAAAGAAATCTATTTACATTCTTTAATTTTCATATTCGACAATAATATTATTGGTATTTCAGATCAGAGAGAATCTAGTACTGCGATTAATAAGTTAAGAAGCGATTTAAAGATAAAAGTAAATGAATTACGTGACTTAGAATTGACTCCACCAGTACCTGGATTAATGTTGGAACCTATGTCCCATAATGAGATGGATGCAATAAGACAAGTTCTAGGTCGCAGTGTTTGATATATATGCAATAAAATCTTTATTTTGTTCAAGTAAGTACAGTCAAAGTAAACATGTGAACCTATTATATTTAATTGTAAACATTTATATAAAATATAAAGTAATTTTTATCAAATATTAACAAACTAGAAAGTTATCATTAAAATAATTTCACATACATATTCTATAGAAAAAGAAAGTCATATTTCTTATTTCAATAACACATAAAATAAAATTGTTTATTTTATTAACTTCATGGCATTTGCGCATCTATCTATTTTTTTCACATGACGTGCGTCTTTCCTTATATAAAAAATATTCTTTAGATTTATGTATTTACTGAAAAGTACTGTTATAATTTTCTGCTTTTTCAACAAACCATGACTTTAAGAAGAAATACATTTCGTCATTAGAAGCTTCTTCACTATAATTTATGACATCATTAGATGCATCATAGTAAAACTTATACATGCACTCATTATAATCTTTGATGACAAACTTTTTGACATGGTCTAGAAATATTTTGCAAAACTTTTTACATTTGCCCACATTACAACAAGGCTGCAATAGTAAATAATTACAAATTATCATATTAATTAATATATATGTTATACATAAATATTATATAGTTTTAATGGTATTACTTACTTTTGAAAGCTCTGGCAGATTCTGCGTAGGATGTTCTTTTATCATTTTCACTTCCCCATATCTATTTTTTAATCCACATATAAGTCTTTCTATTCCTGCTAAGTAATTCTGACTCCACCATCTAATTACTGTTTTAAAAGGTATTGTGCCATATTTATCGTACAATACTGTGCCGATTTCATTATAAACTTTCATTGGTAATGTTTTCAATTCAATCAATTCAATTGTTTTGCCAATAAGTGTATCCGTTATAGGCTGTGGTGAGGAAATAGCATCTATTTCTGCTCCATATAATAATGAATGATCTCCAAAATTTGCTTTAATTACACAGTAAAATTTTTTACATTCATTAAGAGGTACTGATGTATTTGGTTTATGCGATGGTTGATCTATGAAAAAATAGATATATTATTTAATCAGTTTAATTACATGAATTAAATAAATAATTATATTATTATATTTGAAGTAAAAATAATTTTTGATCATTCGTACATAATAATTTAAAATACCTGCTACCATATATTGTTCAAACTTGTATCCCAATGAACTCAATCGTTTTTCTTGTGTAGTTGCATTGACATGTCGATGTTCTTTTTCATTTGTGTAAAATTCGCATAAATATATCGTACCACGGTATTTGCTAGCACAAATAATCCAGTTTTTAGATCTTTCATAAGGGGTACATAATATTGTTTTTAATGCGCCACGACGGCAAATAAAATCAGTATCCAACCTAATTAATACTTATTTTTTAATTAGTGTGTAAAAAAGTAACGGTTACACAATTGCTATATATAATGTTAATAATAATTATAAACATCTATAATTTTTAG